CATGCAGGGGGCTGGAAGGGAGGAAATAGGAGCTAAATTAACAATCCCCTGGAGGCCGATGGGAGGGGCCAGGCCGATAGGAGAGGGTGGTAATGCTGCCCCTCCCCACTGATTTCCATGACATTCTAACCCCCAACATAGAATTTTCCTAATACATAAAATGACTTTCTCAACTTGTATCTTTATTGAAGAACACATTAATTCTAGAAGGAAAAATTATTTAACACAGCACAGTTTTCCATAAGCTACCATTTCCAGCTAAATATCTTCTCAGAGAAATGCTGACCTTTGTTGCCCCTGGGCAAAATTCAGGTCCTCAGAGCTGAGGCTCTTTGCCGACCTGGATATCACAGACCCTGATGTGGTTGGAGGTTTGTCCTTTATGAGACTGTGAAGAAAGGCAGTATGGGAAGTAGTGGTCAAAGGGGCCCCCAAAGGAAGAGGGGGCCTGATTATCTTTCTTTCAGGTACCATTTCCACTGCACACCACCCCAGGCCTCCATGTGAAACCCTTGCAGACATTTTTTTTTTTTTTTTTTTTTTGCGGTACGCGGGCCTCTCACTGTTGCGGCCTCTCCCGCTGCGGAACACAGGCTCCGGACGTGCAGGCTCAGCGGCCATGGCTCATGGGCCCAGCCGCTCCACGACATGTGGGATCTTCCCGGACCGGTGCACGAACCCGTGTCCCCTGCATCGGCAGGTGGACTCTCAGCCACTGCGCCACCTAGGATCTTCCCAGACCAGGGCTCGAACCTGCGTCCCCTGCATCGGCAGGTGGACTGTCAACCACTACCAGGGAAGCCCCAGACATTTTTAAAGTCCAGGAAAATTGTGTGTATGTACGTGTGTGTGTGTCAAGGAGAGTTTTTCTTTCTCTTAGAAACTGTCATTCTTTTTTCTTTATAAAAAGCATGCGGCCGTGTAATTGAATCCATTTCCCTTCTTACTTTGGCCACTCAAAAACAGGAGCCAAATCTGTAGTTTATCTCCAATAACTTTTTAGTACCTATGACCTGCATATCCATGCATCATTTTCCTTTTTGTCTTTTTGCACCTTCATGAGTGTTTTTGTTTTTACTTGTTATGAAAACAATACATTATCACTGTTAAAAACTGGAAAGTACAGAAGAGTTTAGATAAGGGGGAAAAAAAAGCTCCAGTGAACATATTACTTGCATATTATCACCATAAATACTTGGTATTTATTTTCTTTTTTTGTTCCATTTTCATATGAAAACTGTATAGAATGTGTGATCATAGAATACACACTAATAGGCAGATGGAATATACATATGTAAGTATATATAAATATATAAATTTTTAAGAGAAACTAGACTTTTAAGAAGCAGACTTTTTCTTCTTTCCTCCCTCCCCCCCTCCCTCCCTCCCTCCCTCCCTCCCTCGCGGTACACGGGCCTCTCATCGTCGCAGCCTCTCCCGTTGCGGAGCACAGGCTCCGGACGCGCAGGCTCAGCAGCCATGGCTCACGGGCCCAGCCGCTCCGCGGCACGTGGGATCTTCCCGCACTGGGGCACGAACCCGCGTCCCCCTGCATTGGCAGGCGGACCCTCAACCACTGCGCCACCAGGGAAGCCCTATCGATTTTTTTTTTCTTTTTTCCCTTAGACATTTTCTTGAAGTGGACTTTTTAAGGGAGTGACATCAGGGAGGAGTGGGAATAGTAGGGAAGTGGGGATTAATCTAGCTAAACTGTGGGTCCTGGCAAACAGTAGGGCTGCATTGAGAAATAGAAGAAAGGAAGTGACTCAGTAGCTCAGAGAAGGAGCAGAGATGAGACAGCAGTGTGGAA